CTATAATTTTAGGGAATAATCTTTCACATGTCACAAAATTTTAACTTAGAAAAACAAAAGCTTATTTTTATATCTTCAGATTCGAGATAGTATATGCTCAAATTCATGTAACCCACAAGTCATACTTTTATTAATTCGTTTTAACAAACAGCCTCAAAGTATTTTACTATCTATGTTATCCTACAAAAATCAGGTGTTTCTGAGACTTGTATTTGTCCATTCACTATCCCCCTATAGAACCGAATAAAGAACGCCATCTGATATTTAAAAGAGCCAATCAAAGAATCGATCTTGTGCGGACATTAAGTAATTTTCTTCGCAAACTGAAAGAATTTTTTTAACCTTACATCTGCCAAAAGTTAGGACTGGACAGAATAAAAACACTAGATTGCAATTTTACCCCGAAAAGTAATCAACCCCCCCCCCCCATCCATTACAGCAATGTTGGTTTGAGAAGTACCCACAGTAACAAGCAATCAAAATAACGAAGTAGAATAAGCGTATCACATTGACTGTATAGACGGTTGCGGAACGTAAATATTTTCAAAAAGACTTCAATTTTGCAAGCCTAGCTCCAATAACTTTGGCCGAGAGATGCAGGTGAACACAGGCAGTAAAGGCTCGTGCACATTGTCATTAAGAAATAAACAACTTGCCCCATTAAACACAAGAGTAAACGGAGCACTACGATGCTCATAGCAACTGCATCTCTCTTTGTTAATTTGCTTCTTTTTCACAACACTTATTAGTCACTCCACTATTTATCGTAAAAACTGCTTAAATATTGCTTTATGCTTCTTCGCGAGCTATTCACAAAACCGTTACATTGCATAAGTTAACAAAACTAGACCTTTCTAAGCTATAATCTCTAATTCAATTTGGACTGGGTAGTTAGCTTTACAAAACATAAAACTAGAAATTTTTGGTGGATAACTGGGCTAATGAGGGGATATACCCACTAAGGATCATCGGGAGTTGTGCGGTCTTCCCAATCCACCAGGCCATACAAATCACCCACAGAGAGTAGAGCATTGATCGAACTCGAAATATTGATTACTTTTTAATATCAGCCACAACATAATTTGGAATTCTGGCTATACCAAATTTTTCTTTCCAATCTTAAGTCTTCTAGGAGAAGAGAGTGGAAAAATTCACTTTTCTTTCAATTTGCGTGTCTGAGAGCCTTTTCGCTAACCCAATAGCTTTTAAGGTTGTGACAGGGCATAGAACGGCAAACAAAGTAAATAATGTATTAGTGTAAAAATCCTTGTGTCTATCTGTTCTATTCATCTGATCTAACCTTTACCATTTATTGCGGTGCACCAAAGTCATTATTCTTCAATCACCTTACAACCTTGGGAACAATGGTACTGTAATGCAAAAATTCTTTAAGTTGCTTATAGACGAACTAGGCATTCCGATAACCTGATCAACTATTGACGCAAAAATAAAATTTCATTATGAAATTTGATTTGTACCATAGAGTGACTAACGAATGAATTTCAGTGCGCTTTCCACTCCTTGCATATGGGTATATAATACAGAATCGGCATTAATCTTACGCAAAATAGTATTGAAAAAAAGTCTCCAAAACGAAGCTCGCCACACCTATTTTCGTCAACGCCTGTAGAAATAGCTCCGTCACCCATGTATTCTTTGACCGTATTTCATCATCGCATGTAATAAACATTATTATGTATACAGATGAGCAAACTCAGTATTACAGGAGATGTTCTCACCATGTTCATTCAGGTTTCTGATCAGCAGAACCACTGGAGAACTAGCGTAGTTTACCGCTGAGGACAACAATTGTAATCTTGTCACGAATAGGCAAGCAAGTTACCAAATTACGTTGAGAATTACCTGGACATAAACTGATGGCTACAAAGCCCATAGAAATTTTCGTTAGTCATTACCCTATTCGTGTCTACTAATGTATGTTGAAACCTGAAGCTTAATACACTAGCGTCGTTCCCGTTTTCAAAGCATTATATTTGGCCACAGTACCAAATCTATTATGTTGATAAATGTGAATTGGAGATGCTGAAGATGTCACTGCCAAAAGAGAGGCGACATCAATGTCTATAATTGATTCGCTCGTTGTGAACATCTGTAAGGAACAATATGACTTATAAAACATGGACAACTATTCCTGTAAACCTGCGTGTACTGCAGTTTTGAAGACATCAAAAATAAAATCCAGGACTTGTTTTGATTCTTCAAGTATGCATTGCAACTTTAGAATGATTTACCGGAAAAATAATTAACCAAAAACAATTTATGTTGCAAACTATCGTTTGCATCCTTACATAAATGCCGATATGCCGAAAAAGACAAAGACCTGAAATGACATCGATCACTGCCTGCATTACCTACCAGCATCATATGTCAGGCATCTTTTTGTGGTGACCATGTATCTGCCGGCGCCCAAGCCCAGTAACGATCCAGAACTGGATGAAAACGCCCAACAACCTTCAGTGGTTTAAACGCATATCGTGAAATTACCACTGGATTATATCCCATACTTTACCAAAGCAGATATGCAGCTTAAATTCAATCGAGCCACCAAATAGGGACCTGCAAGTTAAAACAGCAATTCATTTATACGCAGTCGTTTGCAAATCCCAGATTCAGAAAGGTTAAAAGGAACGGCACAGATTTTAGCGAATGGTTGTCGGCTTCGTTTCAGTTATCCGGGCTCTCGGCCCCTTCTTGCCGCCCAAAGAAGCGGATTTGTTCACGTCTCAACATCCACGAAAATAGTTGCGACTTGCAACAGCAACGTTTTCATAATTTATTTTCAGTCTATCTGTTTTTTATCTGCCCAATTAACAAAAAATAACCAATTGGATACCCTAACTTTTATCTGTCACGGGAAGAGGGGGGGGCGCCATACTTATTGGAATAGACTACATATATATATCCTATATATATATAAATATATATATGATTCAAATAAGTCCTAAGACTGTAACTGTTTTTTAAAAATTTAAATAGATGCAGCAGTAAGAAAACAGACTTGAATTACGACATTCCAATATGCTTATTCGAAATAACCTTCACTTACATTTGGAGCGTAAATAAGGGAATACAGAAACATGACCAAAAGTAGATCACCTTTACAGCAAGGACCAATCCGTTGCTTGTTGCAAGCAAGCAAGGACCAATACTCATATTGTCCTTGCTTTGTAAGTTTTCTTTTTCCTATGTTATATATTCCTTATTTTACGCTCCAATTGTAAGTGAAGTTTATTCTGAAGAAGCATTATTGCGAACGTGAATCAAGTTGTATTTTTACTGATTCATCGTATAATATTTATAATATATTAATATATAAC